AACATAAACACTACACATTTCATATATGCCTTATTTTGGCTAATTGTGTCTTCTTTTCGCTTGTTTCGCCTTTAAGAATGCAAAAATACAAATATACGTTGTCGTATCTTCGCGTTTTTGCATATTTTTTTTGCATTTACGTGGCGAAAAAGGGGGAAACGGATGTGGGGGCATACTACAGAAATTAGTACACAATTAATGATGCCAGTGAAATTTGTGCTTTTTATTTAGGTGTATGCGACAGTTGCAGATTTATAAATGGTGTAGGATACAACAATCATCCATATGACTGCAATCAGTTTGTCCAATGTTTTAAAGGAAATAGAGGCTTGGAACCAGCCTATCGGAAGTGTCCATTTGGTTTGTTTTGGGATCAGAACGCTCTAACATGCAAACCATCGCATGAAGTGGACTGCCCAAATGGTATGTCTATTTAATAAGTTCTTACTATTTTCCCTCAAGTTTTACTTTAAAGTGATGTAATATAAAAAAATCTTATCGAAGAAAATTAAAACAACCGAATGTATTCTACAACACATTCAAGTTCAAATAGTGGAAAGAAAGCAGATCAGCTATATGTATAAAACACAGACACTTGTGGTGCATTAGAATCCAAATAAAATATATATTTGTTTATCTAATCACATACACTTACTATAAGCTGTTTGGGAAAAATCATATTACAACGTCCATCTAAGTAAACGTCTATACATTTTGTTTGGATTTTAAGGCGTTTGGAGCTCCACACCTAAAGTGACTTTGTATAAAATATATTAATTTTACATATATTTGAGAGACCATTATAAAATTTTAAACATACATGTTACCCACTTTTGCCTGAACTATGTTAATCGTTTTTATTTCATTATAGATCAGTGCAAAAATCCTTTAGTTCAGTCTTATCAGCACAAAGATCCAAACAAATGCTGTGCCTACTGGAAATGCAAGAATGGGCGTGCATATGGAGAGTGTTGTAGTGAGGGCTCGTCATTTAGCCGCCTTCAAAACCAATGTGTTCCTGACACCGAATGTTTAGATACTTGTCCCTTCCAGGATGAAATACCAGGTAACCACTTTTTTGTGTTGCAGAAAATGTATTATAAAATAATATCTTAAAATAAACCAAAAGAAATCGTATGATCAACTTTAATACCGCATATACTTTTATTAAAACTGACTTGAGCAGTTCATTTGAATCTTAAAACTTTTTTTATACTTTTAGTTTGTGATAAGAGACCGACTAAACTTTTTTATACTTTTAGTTTGTGATTAGAGACCGACTAAACTTTTTTTTATACTTTTAGTTTGTGATAAGAGACCGACTGGGAAAGACACAATGTTCGAGCAGCATATAGGCAACAATCATTGGGTCACTATGCATTGTGCTCCAGGTACAGCATTTAATCCTGTGGATTGCAAATGTTCACTTTTCATCATGAACGTACCCGGAAGAAATAGACAACAACTGTGCAAACCTGAGATATTCCTCCCTTTTACAAATAGCTTTCAAGATCGGTCTGGAAAAAATGTTTTCGTGAAACCAGAAAACGTGACAATACATAGAGGGGCAGCTCTTTTCAACGGGAATTCCCGAATCATAATAAATCGCTTTGCTAACACGGAATTTTACGGCGATCTTGTGATCAAGTTCCGTTATAATGAGTTTAAACGTGGTTCATATTTCAACAAGTTACAAGCTCTCGTTACCAATGGTGATTGTGGTTCAGATCCTTCTATTATTATAGCTAAGATGCCCGGCTATGTTTTACTTGGAGCAAAGACAGATACATCGAGGAGCTTTGCATTGCCCACCCTGGTAATATGTTTTTTTATATGTACCTACCTTTCTTGAAAAGAAAACTTAAACCGTTTTTGAAAAGAAATAATGATAATATCGAAAAAAGTATCAGCAATTTTAGTAACACAAAAATGTAATATTTTAGTAAAGACTTCTGTAAAGTAAATACCTATACTCTCACATATATCGAATATCCGTCCTTGTTCGTTATAAACTTCACTCATACTTGTATTTTTAACATTTTTAATGCATTAACTATACAATTTACTTCAGGATAAAGATTGGAAGGAGGTCATTTACATACATAATATGAAAAAGTTAGAGGGTAGAGTTTGTGGTGCCTCGCGAGCGAGATGGTCGTACGGACCTATACAAGCAAATCATTGCGCCTTACAAGTTGGCTATGGCAGTGGACTACAGTCATATGTTGGACTGATAGATGATGTAAGTACAATTATTATCCTTCATTTATCTAAATGATCATTATAGAAAAAATATCCATGGTTACCTTTGTTAGTAGCATATAATTAAGTATCTGTTTCTCATTCTTCAATATAAGAATATGATTGTTTGAGCCGTCTTATACGTACGTTATTATTTTTTCGTGTTAAAATGAAACGCATGCGTTTGGTTTGCAATGCATTTAATGGTTTAATTATTCCATAATGTTAATTGATACACACATATTGTTCACTTAATGTTTTGCCAATAATATTTACTGGCATAAGTGTTCGAGTATGAAGTAACAGAGTTGACATGTTGAACTCATTTAAACGAGTAGTACAAAATTAATGCATTACCGTTTTAAAGTACATGTATAAGAATTTTTTTTGTATTTCACATACTGTTTATAACATAGTCTTATGATTTTCCATTACAAAATTTTATTTTTGTACATATTTTTGTATACGAATATACATGTACATTTATACACTACAGAGTTATAAATCATACGAACGATGTGATCACGTTAAATTACAGCCATGGTTTTTTTAATTATATTTCAGTTGTACGTGTACCAGTGCCGTCCACGAAACGGAGAACTGAACATTGGCTACTAGATACAGTCATCAGTGCCGTCCACGAAACAGTAGCTACATGTAACTGTATTGCTGTGATATCTAATCGAAACATGTCAATTTTACATTATGTATTCAAACAAAAAGTGCAGTTTATTTCGCAGGAATTTATTTTCGAAATACATATTAATTCCATGTTTTGGTGAATACTATCAAGTGTCTACATTAAATGAGACGATAAACCAGCAACAAGTCGGATATTTCAATGTTACATTCATCATCTACGGAAAGCCAAAACAATATTTAATCTTTATGTGACCATTTATCTACTTGCATTTATTTATTTATTTGTTTATTTATTTCATAGATATTCATTATTTCATTCATGTCATTTTGAGTCGAAATGTATTTCCAACTGGGAAGAACATCTGCTCTTGTTTCCATTGTAAATTGGACATATGTTAGGTATTTTTACACAAGTCAAATGTATAGAAAATGTCCTATTAAAACGCTGTTGTTATTTTTTGTGTGTTTTTGTTGTTTTTTTAATTTTGTTACTCTTCTTTCTCAAGTGAGTGTATTCCTGTCTTGTGTGAATAACAAAATATATTTATACAATACGTATGAATAACTGATTGACATTTCAGTGGCTTCTACCAAATACATAATTGTATACCAATAACATAGTGAATGGTCTAATCTTAGAATCGTAAATAGCAGTTTTGCAACACATCTATAAATATCACAATAGTACACACCTGTATCACATAAACGACACAAATTATACATACCTGTATTACATAAACGTCACAATAATAATACATACCTGTATCACATAAACGTAACAATAATAATACATACCTGTATTACATAAACGTCACAATAATACATACCTGTATCACATAAACATCACAATAATACATACCTGTATCACATAAACGTCACAATTATAGACACCTGTATTACATAAACATCACAATAATACATACCTGTATCACATAAACGTCACAAAAATAATACATACCTGTATCACATAAACGTCACAATAATACATACCTGTATCACATAAACATCACAATAATAGACACCTGTATCACATAAACATCACAATAATACATACCCGTATCACATAAACGTCACGAAAATAATATATACCTGTATCACATGAGCATCACAATAATAGACACCTGTATCACATAAACGTCACAAAAATAGACAGTTGTATCATATAAACGTCACAATAATAGACACCTGTATCACATTTAAACGTCACAAAAATAGTACATACCTGTATTACATAAACATCACAATAATGCATACCTGTATCACATAAACGTCACAAAAAAGACATCTGTTTCATATAAACGTCACAATAATAGACACCTGTATTACATAAACATCACAATAATACATACCTGTATCACATAAACGTCACAAAAAAGACATCTGTTTCATATAAACGTCACAATAATAGACACCTGTATTACATAAACATCACAATAATACATACCTGTATCACATAAACGTCACAATTATACATACCTATATTACATAAACGTCGGATTTATGTATACCTGTATCACATAATGCATACTATTATTGTGACGTTTATGTGATACAGGTATCTATATAATTGTGACGTGTATGTGATACAGGTATGTATTATTGTGTCGTGTATGTAATACAGATATGTATTTTTGTGACTTGTATGCGATACTGGTATGCATTATTTTTCCATCATTCAAGAGAGATAACTAACTTTGTCCAAAATCTTTTAACCACGACCAAATTCAAACTTGAACTGCTTATGCATAAGATGTATCTATATGTCAAATTTGAGTTGAATGTGAACAACCATTGGGATGATGATGACGGAATGACAGAACAGGGTAACAATTTCTGATCTTTTTCAAAGTTCAAGAGGGATAAAAGTTAGGGAGATAATGAACGGAAACTGAAAATTTTCTGTTTGTTTGTTTGTTTTTTTTAGTTTAATGTATGGGAGATAATGCATATAAACTTAAAATTTCCCTTTCTAAGTTAAAGAGGGATGACTCTGTCAAAAATCATCAAACCATGACCAATTTTTATCTTGGCCTGCACATTCCTATGACATATCGATAAATTAAATTTGAGTTGAATGTGTAACTGTTGAGAAAATGAACAGAAACTGATTTTTTTTTCAAAGTTAAGGGTCACAACTCTGTAAAAAAATCATCGAACCATGACAAAATTTGAACTTGACCTATCATTCCTATTGCATATACATATCTTAAATTTCAGTTTGAATGTGTACAACAGTTGGGTAGATAATGACTATTAATAATTCCTTTTTTTTTCAAAGTGAAAGGAGCATAACTCTGCCAAAAAATCATCGAACCATGACCAAATTCGAAATTGACCTGCGCATTCCTTTGACATATCCATATGTCAAATTTGCGTTGAATGTGCAATGCTGTTGGGGAGATAATGAACGGAAACTGAAAATTTCATCAAGGGGCATAACTCTGTCAAAAATCATCGAACCATTACCAAATTCGAACTTAACCTGTATTTTCTTATGATATATCCATATGTCAAGTTTCAATTGAATGTGTGAAACCGTTACTAAGATAATGAATGAAAACTGATGATGACGGAATGACGAACTGGGTAACACTATATGCCCCGGCCATTTTATAGCGGGGGCATAAAAAGTTTTCAAGATAATGAATGTAAACTATTTTAACATTTAAGGCCCCTGTGACCTTGACCTTCGACATAGTTACCCAAAACTCAAAAGGGGCCATCTAGTAGCTATGACCAATCATAATGTGCATTTTGGCTTTTAAGGCTCCTTTGACCTTTGAACTAGTGACAGTGACCCTAGTGACTTTGTGATAGTTTTCAAGATAATGAGTGGAAACCATTCTGACATTTAAAGCCCCTGTGACTTTGACCTTTGAACTAGTGACCCAAAAATCAATAGGGATCATCTACTACATATGACCAATCAGTATGTGAACTATGAAGACTTTGTGATAAAAAGCGGAAACTATTCTCACATTTAAGGCCACTGTGACTTTGACCTTTAAACTAGTGACCACAAAATCTACAGGGGTCATCTACTACATATGACCAATCAATGTGTGAAATATGAAGACTTTGTGATAAATAGTTTTTAAGATAATAAGCGGAAACCATGTGGTCTACCGACGGACAGATTGACCGACCAACATAACAACTGACACTAGCAAACCAATATACACCCTCTTCTTCAAAGGGAGACATAATTTATAATATGTGGGGTTTACTCAAATATATTATTTTGTCCAAGAATGAATCAAATCGAGTAACAAATTACAAATTTATGACAAAGCAAATTTCAACAAGAAATGTCGAACGACACATATGCCCACCTTTCTAGCCCTTGACTCACATTGTTGGTAATTTTGTTATAGAAACTTGCCATAAATGGGTACATGGAAAAAAGAAAAATAATGAAGACTTTGTGATAAATAGTTTTCAAGATAATGAGACATTTAAGGCCCCTGTGACCTTGACCTTTGAACTAGTGATCCAAAACCGATAGGGTTCATCTAATTGTTATGACCAATCAAAATAAGAAATATGAAGACTTTGTGATAAATAGCTTTCAAGATAATGAGCGAAAACCATACTAACATTTAAGAACCCTGTGACCTTGACCTTTAACCTAGTGACCCCAAAATCAATAGGGGTCACTTACTAGTTATGACCAATCACTATGTGAAATATGAAGACTTTGTAATAAATAGATTTCAAGATAATAAGCGGAAACCATTCTGACTTTTAAGGCCCTTGTGACCTTGACCATTGATCTAGTGACCCAAAAAGCAATACATATGACCAATCACTATGTGAAATATGAAGACTTTGTAATTAATAGTAACCAAGATAATAAGCAAAAATCATACTACCATTCAAGGCCCCTGTGACCTAGACCTTTGACCTAGTGACCCCAAAATCAAAAGGGGTCATCTACTAGTTATGATCAATCAATATGTGAACTATGAAGACTTTGTGATGAATATTTTTCAAGATAATCAGCGGAAACCATTCAGACATTTAAGGCCCCTGTGACCTAGACCTTTGACCTAGTGACCCCAAAGTCAATAGGGATCATCAACTAGTTATGACCAATAACTATGTGAAACATGTAGACTTTGTGATGAATACTTTTCAAGATAATCAGCGGAAACCATTCAGACATTTAAGGCCCCTGTGATCTTGACCTTTGACCTAGTGAACCTTAAATCAGAAGGGGTCATCTACTAGTTATGACCAATCACTATGTGAACTATGAAGACTTTGTGATGAATATTTTTCAAGATAATCAGCGGAAACCATTCTGACATTTAAGGCCCCTGTAACCCGGACCTTTGACCTAGGGACCTCAAAGTCAATAGGGATCATCTACTAGTTATGACCAATCACTATGTGAAACATGTAGACTTTGTGAATAATAGATTTCAAGATAATAAGCGGAAACCATTCAGACTTTTCAGGCCCCTGTGACCTTGACCTTTGATCTAGTGACCCAAAAAGCAATACAAATCATCTGTTGGTTATGACCAATCACTATGTGAAATATGAAGTCTTTGTGATTAAAAGTAACCAAGATAATAAGCAGAAATCAAACTACCATTCAAGGCCCCTGTGACCTAGACCTTTGACCTAGTGACCCCAAAATCAAAAGGGGTCATCTACTAGTTATGACCAATCAATATGTGAACTATGAAGACTTTGTGATGAATATTTTTTTCAAGATAATCAGCGGAAACCATTCTGACATTTTTGTTTGTTTGTTTTATTTTACGCATTTTCCCAACAGTATTTCAGTCATATAGGCGGGTAGTTTCCTAACCATCGTTCCTGGAGAGTTACACCAGTACTAGACTACCTTCCTCCGCGCTAAACTACCAAAGCATCTCCCGGGGATCGAACCCACGCCAGAGAGGTAACTGGGTTAGAAGTCATCGACTCTAACCCCTCGACCACGGAGGCGGCATTCTGACATTTAAGGCCCCTGTGACCTAGACCTTTGACCTAGTGACCCCAAAGTCAATAGGGATCATCTACTAGTTATGACCAATCACTATGTGAAACATGTAGACTTTGTGATCAATAGATTTCAAGATTATATACGGAAACCATTCAGACTTTTAAGGCCCCTGTGACCTTGACCTTTGATCTAGTTACCCAAAAAGCAATACAAATCATATGTTGGTTATGACCAATCACTATGTGAAATATGAAGACTTTGTGATTAATAGTAACCAAGATGATAAGCAGAAATCATACTACCATTCAAGGCCACTGTGACCTAGACCTTTGACCAATCACTATGTGAAACATGTAGACTTTGTGATGAATACTTTTCAAGATATTCAGCGGAAACCATTCAGACATTTAATGCTCCTGTGATATTGACCTTTGACCTAGTGAACCTTAAATCAGTAGGGGTCATCTACTAGTTATGACCAATCAATATGTGAACTATGAAG